CCTCAGCGGCGAGGAGGAGGCGGCGGTGACCACCTGCCGCAACATCGCCGGCTCCACCAGCGCGGTCGGCAGCAGCGTGCTGCGGGAAGCAGCTTACTCGATCACCTACGGCGAGCGCGGCAGCGGCGTCGCGTTCATCGCGTCGGAGCCGATCACGGGGTCCAACACGGATTGGGTGTCGGTGCCCAAGAACACAGCGCTCGTGATCACGCGCGAGAAGGGTGGATACATCAACATCATGCGGTCGCCGCTGCTGGCGGCGCCGGCAGCTGCCGGGAAGCCGGACCCGGTGCAGCAGGAGGTGGCGGTCTGCCTGGAGGTAGGAGTGATGACTAATCAGGGCTTAGGGTTTTGCAAGCGGGGGGTCTCGCACCAGAGTTTTGCCCGGGAGATTGGTCCTGCTGCTGCATCTGCTCCGCCTACAATGGCCGTGCCAAGGGCGCCGCATGGCAGCGCTCCGCGCGGCTGCTGCCCGTAGGCGCCCAGTGGGCGCCGCGGGGCCCACGTGTGTTGTAATTGAGGGGCTTACAATCAGGGTTGTTCCCGCCAGCCGGCGGCGCGGCGCGGCGCGGCGCGGCGCGGCGCAGGGCTGTCCCTGCAGCACGCCGCGGCTGCGGTGGGAGGGCCCCGACTCGCGCCCGCCCCGCCCTCACGAAATCGCGTGCGTGGCACCCGCTTCACTCCCTCCCCGCCGCTTCACCAAACACCAGGCCGTCATCAGGGGCATCGCCACCCGCGGCCGCGCGTGGGTCGCCAAGCGCACCAGCAACAGCGCCAGCGGCGGCGGCGCGGGGCCGCTGGATGCGCCGGGGGAAGGCATGTCCTCTCTGACGCGCACACTGTCGGCCGGTGGGTTGAAAAGTTGGTGACTATTTGGCGGGACGGGCGCTTGGGGGCGCATGCACGCATGGGGGGCGCTGCAGTGCTCTGCTCGAATGCAGCGGCGTTGGCTGCCGCTTGCAAAAGCGCCGCATAGCGGCCTCACTGCATGGGTGGGGGTGGGTTGGAGAGCCCGCTGTGCGAGCGAGGCGCTTGCACCTGCGACCGCGCGGCCCCCTTGTCTGAACGGCTGCTCCGGCCGCACACTTCGCTCCTCGTGCACGCACCCCGCTCTTCCCCAATGATTCCGCCTCGCCACCGTCCCCGCCGTGCCTTGCAGCCGCGCCACACCCACAGCTCAGCCGACCGCTGCCGCGGCCGCACCACCCCAGTCCACCCCAAATCACCCGCCCCCGCCCCGCGCCTTCTGTACACCACAAG